GGTGTCCAGCCCCAAACTGGTGCCCCGAGGCTGTAACTGGTGCCATTTATTGGATATTTATTGGGGCTGGAGCCTGGAGGAGCGGGCAGAGCCTGGGCCTCCTCCCCTGCGCCCGGGCAGCCGCTGTGCATGTCGGGTAGCGTGGCCCAGAGGGCCAGCGTGGTGAGTGTTGACATGTCCCCCCACTGTCCCCTGTGCATTTTGGGGACGGCTGTGTGGCTCCGTGTGGCTTCGGGGAGCTGGAGAAGAGGGTTCAGAGGGAGCGAGGGCAGAGCTGGGGCGATGCACTGGTCCCCCAGAGGGGCAGGAGGCTGCACTGGGGTGCTTGCAATGGGGGAGGGTGTCCTTAGGGTGCCATGGGGTGCTCCCAGGGACACCTCAAGGCCAGCAGCTGGGGCTGGGAGCTCTGGCAGGGAATAAGGGCTGGCCCACACCCAACCCATCACCCCCTGTGAGTTATTCCCTCCCCTTACACCTTCCAGCAGCAGGAAGGATTTTAACCCCACAGATACCTTCTCTGCCCTCCTTCCCTCCCTCCCCCTCCTCGATATTTGCCCACAGTGACCCACTGCTCTGCACCCCAACTACAGCCACTCTGCCTGGCTCTGAGGCACAGGAGGAGACTCAGGGTGGGGATCAGGCTTGATGTTAGGAAAAAGAGTGTAATAAAAATAATGTAATGGAAACAACATGTGGGGAAGAAGTTGTGGATAACAGCGAAAACCAGGCTGGCAGGGCTGGCACCACTGCCTGTGCGTCTCGCTCGCGCAGGCAAAGCCGCGTGGCTCTGAGCTGGTGCGTCAGGAGCAGGTTAAGGAGGCACTGGAGTGTGTAAAACAACACGCTGGGCAGGGACAACTTTAATAAATCAAAGAAGGCAAAAGCAGAAGCTGCCCTGAGCTGTTCCCGGTCTCTAACACATGGTCTCCGCAGCAATCGTGGCGCCCCTGGGAGAGCTGATTTAAAAGGAAGAAGGAAGAAATAAAAAAACCAAACCAACAAAGCAACACCACAGATTTAGTTTTGGCTTCTTGTAGCTGTTGCCTTTTACACCCCTGAGCCCCTGCAAAGGCAGCCCAGGCCAATCTGTGGCTCCAGAGACCCCAGGCTCAAACCCAAAAGCTCCGAGTTCCATTCCCAGCACCCCAGCTGCCCCACACTCCCACAGGCTGCGGGCGCTCCGGCAGGCAGGGCAGCGCTTGGGAAGGGATGAGAACACTTGTCTGGGGGGCGGGGATTTTGCTTCCCTCTGGTCCAGGTCTCCAAGAAGACGCTGGTGGTGTTAAAGGCTCTGCTCTGCGAGCACCCCTGTATGAACACACCGTCAATTAGACTCTGCTCTTTAATGAACTGTTTCCTCCAACGTTGCAATCCCTGACCTCAAACGCGATACAGCGCTGGCTGCTTTGAAAAGGCATTGACACGCATCCCAGCATCACCCCCCTGGTCATCCCATGGAGCAAGGCCTCGACTGGCGCTAAGAACCAGCCAAGGGAAGTCTCTTGCAGCCTTTCTAGGGGAATGGCAGCAATGACAGAGGGTAACACAGCTACTGCGATGGGTTCGGATTGGCTTCGGTCGCATCCCTGATGAAATAACAGCATGGAGATGAGAGAGAGCACTGATGGATCTCCCCAGCCTGGGCTAGAAGCGCTTCATCTGGCGGCGTTCTTGTCGACGTTGCTTCTTCTCATTTGGTTCTTGACCGGCGGGTGAAGAGTCAGCTGTGAACCAGGGCCCCAGGATGTTCACCCACAGGAGGTAGAGAGCACGGCCCGGAGCCTGCAAAACACGCGTGGCACAAACTGGGTCACTCTGGGGACAGCTCTGGCCACGGTCAGGATGGCTGGTCCTACCCAGGAAGCCAAAGAGCTGGAATATCTCTCCAGGCCGGATCAGGGGCATCACAGGACGCACGGAAATCAAAGACAGCAGCAGATGTCCAACATAAACGTCCTGATTTCATAGGGTTTAGGAACTTGCACACGTATACAGCGCTTAGGCTTCACATATGGAAATCTCAGCATCAGGTCTGAATTACCCAGGAAGATCCAACTGTCGGGACATTCTGCCTCTGCCTCCTTCCGAAAAAACACCCATATTTCTCTAACTGAAAACAAATGTGGTCTGGATGGTCTCTGGGGGACAGCGAGGCGAGGCTGCCCTCTGCCAGGCCAGCTAGAAAGGAACATGTCAGTAAGGACTGAAACGAGACAACTTCCTATGCTCCCAAGATTCCCTCATACACCTTTGTGGGATTTATTCAGAGCAACCAGCAGATTATTTTATTTTATTTTTAACTGACTGGAGAGATTTTTTTATCCTTCTGCAAAAGCGGTTTGAGCTGGAGGCTCATGACAAATGTTTCGAGAGCAGAAAGTGTGTTAAAGGGAAATCAAAGCCAACAGCATTCGAGGTACCAAGCAGCACAGTGCCCAGCAGCCCCCAGCCTGAGTCCATGCTGGTAAATGAATGAAAACCAAACAAGAAGCAGCAGAGCCTGTTTGCCAGTCACAGAAAGGCTCTGAGCAGAGAGATCTGCCTCATGGCTCTTGCTGCCCTTTCACAGGAGCACAGAGAAAGGCCAGGGCCAGCCTAGTTTTTGTGTGGTTGACCCAGGGGGATCAGGACTTCTTTCCCTTGTACAGCCTCATTTTTAACAGGGAGATTAAAAAAAATGGATCAGAAAATACTTTTGGCCTGAAACAGGAAACTGTGACATGAAATAGAGAAATAATAAATAATTCAAATCCCTGGCTCTGAAGACAGGGAAAGACAAGGACAACGTAGAGCACCAAGGAAAACCGCAGGGGCTTACCAAGAGCCAGAAGTACCAGACGTAGAGCGAGAAGCAGCTCAGCACTTGGACCATGGCTGTCAGCAGGATCACATCCTTGAGGTGCCTGAGGGGAGAAAAGCAAAAAATGAACCTTCCCTTCCAGCCCCCCCTGAACACACCAGCTCCTCTGCACTGCCCGCGGGGAGCCACCCTGCCCACCCGACCCAAGGACTGTCCCTGCAGCTCTGCCTTGCCACAGACAGTGATCTAGAAGAACCAAGAGCTGTGAACAAAAAAGAAAATAAATCAGTGTGATGAGTTACAGACCAGGCTCCCTCTGCAGAGGGACATGCAGAAAGCTGAGGAATGCAGGGGGGGAGGAAACTGCAGCAAAACCACCACCCCTGCAGCCCACAACAGCACCCAGCACCCACCGACTGGACACACATGATGGCACAAAGCACGAGCTGCTCGTGTCCTCACAGCTGGTGGCACCAGGGGAAGCCTGAATCTTCCCTGGGCCACTTCACAGGCTGACAGACACACT